TAGATATATAGTTTTAGATGTGTAAATATATATTTATAGGTTTTGTTTTCTCGGCCACAGCTAGCCTGCCCGACTTAAAGTAATCATGCCTAGGCATACTTAAGTATACACACACTAATAATAATAATAATTATAATAATAATGACTTTATTGGATGACACAATCACTGGTAGAACCAGTAGTTCTCATTGTGGTCCAATCACCAGTCGATGGTGACTGTTGCTGCACCTATGATTTTCATGGTAAGAATTGATTGCATTTTCCTCCATTTTTCTTAACTCCAATTCATAAATTGACAAAATGATAAACTCTACAAGTGCATGAACAAATGTCATTTTGTCACAAGGCTTTACTTCCACAGAACTTGATCCTCAGATCTTTAACACCTTTTTCATGTCTTTGCCAATGCAGACCTCCCTGCTGGTTAGTAAATATGCAGTAATTTTATGTATTTTATGTCATATTAATTTTATGCACTCTTTCATTCATTATTTTGATAGAATACTATAGGAGATTCAACTTGATGTGGATCTCATTCATGCATTTTTAGCAATGCATATTGAACCTGTGGTTAAATTGCAGGTAGTTTAGACGATGGAAAAAGCTTAAGGCAGGTGATTTCCAATGTGGAATCATTTTACGGCCAGGACATTGCAACAGTCCTTGGTGGAGCTGCTATGGCTTTCTGGTACCAACAGCTTACCAAGTTAGTTGGTAGTGTTCCCCTAACACTTGCCGTTGGTTACCCTGTGTCCAGGAAATCCACTGCTGTTGAGTGTGCAATGCCATTGTTCAATCAACAGGAATAAGCATAAAAAAGGGTAAAGGCTATTATCCAAAAGGAAACAAAATACATGTTTTGAATAGGATCTAAACTGTATAATTGGTTAGGATTTGTTATCCTTTTCTTTTCTCATAGAAATTTACAAGAGGTTAACTTACATGTATGATGTTATTGAGATGTTGACATTACAACATATTAGCAAGCATTCAATAACTTGATGCAGGCAAAGAAAGTCACAATGTCAAAAGACACTGTTGGCAGTACTGTGCAGATAATATCGGTCACCTATTCCAAACTGATCAAAAGCTTCAAAAAAACTAAAAATGGGAGATGAAGATTTTGAAAGGTAAGGAACATATTGCTGTTTGGAAAGTTCAGGTTTGTCCATCAACTTTAACCTAGAAAAAACACAGAAATTATTGTAATAAAGGAGTAAAGTTGAGAATATCATATCACTTTTCTGAAAACATTGCAGATAAAACTAAAGCCATCAACAGTGATGCTTAATATATGGCAATCAACTTACAGTTGCTGCTAGCCAAACTGTGTTCATTGACTTTTTTCGAAATGATGGTTGTAGTATTATTTACAAAGTTAATGTTCCCAAAATTCTTTTAAAAGTACAGACCAAGCAGGAATTAACAGGCAACAATACATGGCTTTTGAGAATTATAAGTCAGCAGGTAAATTAATGCATGGCTTAATAACTTGGAAAGGTGAGCAAAATTATTAGGTAACAGTAATGTGAAAATACTATTTGTCTCAATAAAGATTATTTACTGGAATGCTTCCTATCCCATTTGGGAAAAGAACAATTGGGAAAAAGTGAATAAAGAAGAGGTTGGAAGGAAAGTCTCAGCTGGAGAATTTGCTGAAAGACATCCCCAAGAGTGTGTCAGTAGTTCTGAAACTACACAATAATTACGAAGGAAAGACTAAGGATGTCCTTTTTAACGCCATTCAGGACGTTGTGGAGGAAATGGAAGTAGATGTCAGGAGTAAGGCCAATTTTTCCGTTTTGCTGCTTACAACTGGAAAGGTGAGAAATACACTGTAGAGCTTATTAGAATGACTACACTGTATGTCAATATGGCGAGCAACATTATTATTTGAGACCTCAGGTATCGTTCTTGTTTATGCTACAGAATGAAAATAAGTATTTGCTTCCGGTACTAATAAGTTGTCCTTGCTTGCTTCAGGAAATGACAAAGTTTTTGTGCTTAACAAAATGCCAATGAAAACTTCTCAACGCGTGTCTGTACATGTACTGCTTATAGAACCATCTGTCAGAGGTCTATTTGCCTTGAAGTCACTGAAAGTAACAATGTTATTAATTAACAACACCATGATATCATATTTGTAAAGTGTAATCATATCTTGTAGTGCAGGTGATCATTGTCAGCAGCTGACAAATGAACTGTCCAGTGACACTGAAATCTTTTCCATGTACCATAATAAATTATGTACACATCATATGCAGCACGTATC